GCTGAGGCTGAGGCTGATGCAGGCTGAGGCTGAGGCAGGCTGAGGCTGAGGCCGAGGCTGAAGGCAGACTGAGGCTGAAGGCAGACTGAGGCTGAGGCTGAAGCAGGCTGAGGCTGAGGCTGAGGCAGGCTGAGGCTGAGGCTGAGGCTGAGGCAGGCTGAGGCTGAGGCTGTGACTGTGACTGCCGTTGCCACTGCGACTGTCATCGCGAATGCGATTACGACTGCGAGAACAGCAGAATTCTACAACTGGATTCTCATCTGAATCTTAAGTTGAATGCTTCCAGATAATCCAGATTATGCTCCTACACATCGCTGTTAGGTTGCTTTGCCAGGATAATTTCCTCCTTTTCTACTCGGGACCGAGACTCCTGCTCGCCGCCGAAAGCTGGCTTGCCCACTAAACCGGCGTCCCGCTCGATATTTCCTTGTTACCTAACAGCTTGTTCTGATAGGTTTCTAGTAGGGTCAAAAGAGAGCAGCAGATGACTCCACAGGGGGGTCTGGGCGGGTGCCGGACAGGGTGCCGCAGAAGTCGTTTTAAGCCAACAGTCACACACTTCGTGCTCTTCGACCTCCCAGAACTCCATTCCCGGGCCACATTCTGAATGCCCGGAGCCAACTGTAGGCCACTTCGTGCTCTTCGACTTCCCAGAACTCCATTCCCGGGCCACATTTTGGATGCCCGGAGCCAACTGTAGGCCACTTCGTGCTCTTCGAGTTCCCAGAACTCCATTCCCGGGCCACATTTTGGATGCCCGGAGCCAACTGTAGGCCACTTCGTGCTCTTCGACTTCCCAGAACTCCATTCCCGGGCCACATTTTGGATGCCCAGAGCCAACTCTAGGCCACTTCGTGCTCTTCGAGTTCCCAGAACTCCATTCCCGGGCCACATTTTGAATGCCCGGAGCCAACTGTAGGCCACTTCGTGTTCTTCAAGTTCCCAGAACTCTACTCCTGGGCATGATTTTGAATGCCTGGAGCCAACTGTAGGCCACTTCGTGTTCTTTTAGTTCCCAGAGCTCCATTCCTGGGCCACATTTTGAATGCTGAGGCAGGCTGATGCTGCGGCCGAGGCAGGCTGAGGCTGAGGCAGGCTGAGGCTGAGGCCGAGGCTGAAGGCAGACTGAGGCTGAGGCTGAAGCAGACTGAGGCTGAGGCTGAGGCAGGCTGAGGCTGAGGCTGAGGCAGGCTGATGCTGAGGCAGGCTGAGGCTGAGGCTGAGGCTGATGCAGGCTGAGGCTGAGGCAGGCTGAGGCTGAGGCGAGGCTGAAGGCAGACTGAGGCTGAGGCTGAAGCAGGCTGAGGCTGAGGCTGAGGCAGGCTGAGGCTGAGGCAGGCTGAGGCTGAGGCTGAGGCAGGCTGAGGCTGAGGCTGTGACTGCGACTGCCGTTGCCGCTGCGACTGTCATCGCGAATGCGACTACGACTGCGAGAACAGCAGAATTCTACAACTGGATTTTCATCTGAATCTTAAGGGGAATGCTTTCAGATATGCTTCTACACATCGCTGTTAGGTTGCTTTGCCGGGATAATCTTTTACTCAGGACCAGCGCTCCCGCCTCGGCGCCGCAGACGGCCCCCCCTGCAAACAACGACGTTCCCGCTCGATACTTCCTCCTGGCATGCGAGCAGAAAAGAGCGAACAGTCTTAACATGATTGTTGATGCTGTTGTTGTTGTGGTTGTTGTTGTTGTGGTTGTTGTTGTTGTTGATGGTGGTGTTGTTACTGTTGTGGTTGTCGCTGTTTTTTCCCAACCATCCTGTGGTGTTGGGTCCTCGCTTTGAAGAGACGGTGCCCCGCGTCCTCCTCTCCTCTCCTCTCCTCCTCCTCCCCCCTCCTCCCTCCTCCCGTCATCATCATCATCGTCATCATCATCACCATCATCGTCGTCATCGTCATCGTCATCATCGTCGTCGTCATCGTCGTCATCATCGTCATCATCACCATCATCGCCATCATCATCGCCGTTATCGCCACCATCATCATCATTGTCATCCTCCTCCTCCTCATCATCATCAGCATCATCATCATAAGCATCATCACCATAATCATCATCATCCTCCGCATCATCACCATCACCATTACCATTACCATCATCATCATCATCATCATCATCATCATCATCATCATCATCATCATCATCATCATCATCATCATCATCATCATCATCATCATCATCATCATCATCATCATCATCATCATCATCATCATCATCATCATCATCATCATCATCATCATCATCATCATCATCATCATCATCATCATCATCATCATCATCATCATCATCATCATCATCACATGCGTCCCCTGCACCCATTTCGGCACACCCCTCACACGTTTCGTGGCCCCAAAGGGAGCTCCACCGAAGGCCCCAGTGGCTGCGCTCGCATGCGGTTCCACCCCCCTTTTCGGCACACCCCTCACACGTTTCGTGGCCCCATAGGGAGCTCCACCGAAGGCCCCAGTGGCTGCGCTCGCATGCGGTTCCACCCCCCATTCTGGCACACCCCTCACACGTTTCGTGGCCCATAGGGAGCTCCACCGAAGGCCCCAGTGGCTGCGCTCGCATGCGGTTCCACCCCCCATTCTCGCACACCCCTCACACGTTTCGTGGCCCCATAGGGAGCTCCACCGAACGCCCCAGTGGCTGCGCTCGCATGCGGTTCCACCCCCCCATTTCGGCACACCCCTCACTCGTTTCGTGGCCCCATAGAGAGCTCCGCCGAAGGCCCCAGCGTCTGCGCTCGCATGCGGTTCCACCCCCCCTTTTCGGCACACCCCTCACACGTTTCGTGGCCACACAGGGAGCTCCATCGAACGCCCCAGTGGCTGCGCTCGCATGCGGTTCCACCCCCCTTTTCGGCACACCCCTCACACGTTTCGTGGCCCCAAGGGAGCTCCACCGAACGCCCCAGTGGCTGCGCTCGCATGCGGTTCCACCCCCCATTTTCGGCACACCCCTCACACGTTTCGTGGCCCCATAGGGAGCTCCACCGAACGCCCCAGTGGCTGCGCTCGCATGCGGTTCCACCCCCCATTTCGGCACACCCCTCACACGTTTCGTGGCCCCATAGGGAGCTCCACCGAAGGCCCCAGGGCTGCGCCCGCATGCGGTTCCACCCCCCATTTCGGCACACCCCCTCACACGTTTCGTGGCCCCATAGGGAGCTCCACCGAACGCCCCAGTGGCTGCGCTCGCATGCGGTTCCACCCCCCCATTTCGGCACACCCCTCACACGTTTCGTGGCCCATAGGAGCTCCACGAAGGCCCCAGTTCCCTCACACGTTTCGTGGCCCCATAGAGAGCTCCACCGAAGGCCCCAGTGGCTGCGCTCGCATGCGGTTCCACCCCCTTTTTCGGCACGCCCCTCACACGTCTCGTGGTTCCATAGGGAGCTCCACCGAACGTCGGAGTGGCTGCGCTCGCATGCGGTTCCACCCCCTTTTTCGGCACGCCCCTCACACGTTTCGTGGTTCCATAGGGAGCTCCACAGAAGGCCCCAGTGGCTGCGCTGGCATGCGGTTCCACACCCCATTTTCACCCACCCAGAACAGCGCTTCGTAGCCCCATAGGGAGCCTCACCGAAGGCCCCAGTGGCACCGCCCGCATGCGTCCGCCACCACCCAGCACAGCCCTTGCTCCCTGCGTTTCACCCACCCAGTACAGCGTTTCGTGGCCCCATAGGGAGCTCCACCGAAGGGGTCTCAGTGGCACCGCCCGCATGCGTCCGCCACCACGCAGCACAGCCTTTGCTCCCCGCGTTTCACCCACCCAGTACAGCGCTTCGTGGCCCCATAACGGGGGCTCCACCGAAGGTCCCACTGGCACCGCCCGCATGCGTCCGCCACCACCCAGCACAATTGCGGTATTCACAACTGCATATGGTTGGGTCCTTCGCCAGGCTAATTGTCGTCACTGCTGCTGTTTTTGCTGCTGATTGTGATGGTGATGGTGATGGTGATGATGGTGTTGATGATATTGATGCTGATGCTGATGCTGATGCTGATGATGCTGACGCTGATGCTGATGCCGATGATGATGATGACGATGACGATGATCAGTGTGATGATGATGGTGCTGATGATGGTGCTGATGATGAGGATGATGCTGCTGCTGCTGCTGATGATGATGATGATGATGATGATGAGGACGATGATGATGATGATGATGATGATGATGATGATGATGATGATGATGATGATGATGATGATGATGATGAGGACGATGATGAGGACGATGATGATGATGATGATGATGATGATGATGATGATGATGATGATGATGATCAGGAGGAGGAGGAGGAGGAGGAGGAGGAGGAGTAGGAGGATGATGCTGATGATGACGATGATGACGATGATGATGATGATGATGATGATGAGGAGGAGGAGTAGGAGGAGGATGCACCCCCGCTTGCCAAAACACGGCCCCCTCCTCTGCCCCTCCTGCTTCCCCCTCTCTGTCGGCCTCCTCCTCTCCTTCTTTGTGCTCTATCTCCCTGCTGCTCCTCCTCGTGCTTCCTCTTCTCCTCCTGCCCCCCCCCTTCTCGCCCCCCTCCCCCTTTTTGCTTCTCCCCCGCCCTTTCTCGCACCAAGCTCGCGCTGCATTGTTTTGGAATCCGAAAGCTCCGCGCCACGGCGCCGCCGCTCCGTTCTCGGCGGGATCGCGCCCGGCGCGATGGGAGCGTCCGTCCGTGCGTCTTCGCTTCCCGCCTGCCCTTCTTCGGAAACTGGAGCATATGCATTACCAGTGGCGGGCTGTTTTTCAATCCAAGGATCTTTTTAGGGTCGGGGACGACATCGGAATGGTGTGGTGTATACCCTTTCCCCGCTTTCCTGGGGAAGCTACGAAAATTGTATACACCAGGATCCCGTATACACCAGGATCCGCTTTCCTGTGCGAGTTTCAGTGCGGGGCCAGAAAAAGCGTCGGTGTATAGAGTTCGGTTTCTTACTTCTGCCCATCCTTTTCTCTCTGATTGCCCGAGTGCCCCAACGAAGGGCGAGCTTCGCGACTGGCTGGACGACCAGTTCGAGACGCACTGGGCGCGCTGGCAGGAGGAAGGTCTCGAGACGGGGCACTGTTCTTCGGAGCGAGATGGGCATGCACGGGTGCATGCGGGGGAGGAGGAGGAGGAGGAGGAGGAGGAGGAGGAGGAGGAGGAAGACGAGAACAACTTGAGACGAGAGAACGAAGGGAAGCAGGAGGAGGATGGCGAGGATGATGTTCGCGAAGGAGTCTGATGTCGCTGCGGGGCCGTACCATTCAACGTAGGATGCTAGCATGTGGGGCCCTCTCGTGTGGGACGTTATCGCGTGGGGCCACATCGTATGGGACCCTGTGGTGTGGGATCGTCTTGTTCGGCTTTTTTGTGCGTGACCTCATCGTGTGCGGGCCGTCCTTGTCCCTCGCTCCCCCCCTGTCCTCCTCCTCCTCCTCCTCCTCCTCCTCCTCCTCCTCCCTCGCCTGCCCCTCCCTTTTCACCTCCTTTCCTCCTCCTCCTCCTCCTCCTCCTCCTCCTCCATTCCTGTTCCTTATCGAAGACGCCTGCGGCGACCGCCGCCCCCTGCCTTTGGGAATCGCCCATGTGGCCGAATGTCGTGGCTAGAGCTCTGCCAGGTTGTCGGACCATATGGTCCCCCAGCCGTTGTGGTAACCCTTTGGGAACACGCGGGGGAGAAAGAAGAAGCGGAGGAGAGGGTGGGAAACATATAAAACATACGGATTACGCAGAGGAGGAGGAGGCGGAGGATGAGGAGGAGGAGGAAGAGGAGGAGGAGGAGGAGGAGGAGGAGGAGGAAGAGGAGGAGGAGAAGGACACTTGTGGCCTCCTGGGGGCTTCCTGCGGGCCTTAGGGGCCTCTTGGACCATCTTAGCTTAGGGCGTTCCTGGCCCGTCTGACGCTGTCGGGAGCCGTCTTGCGTGCCTCTCTGGACCGACTTGGGCCCCGCTTGTGGGGCGCTTCAGGGCCGTCTTGGAGGGCAGCTTGGGCGTCTTGGAGCCCTTTTGTGCTGTCTTGAGGCCCTTTGGGGGCCGTCTTGGAGGCTTCTTGGGCGTCACGGGGTCAATCTGGGGGCTTCTCGGGCCATCTTGGGGCGATCTTGGAGGCTCCTTGGCAGTCTCGGGCCTTCGGAAGGCCGATAAGAAGCAAATGCCAACATCCTTCAAACACCTGAGGAAAATATATGATTTTGGCATGTTCCAGCCCTCCTGGAGGACCTCTTGGAGGCCTCTTGAGCCGTCCTGGAGGCCCCTGGGGCCATCTTGGGCCGTCTTGGAGGCTTCTTGGGCGGACTTCGAGGCATCTTGGACCCTCTTGGGCTGTCTTGGAGGCCATCTTTGGCCATCTTGGGCGACCTTGGAGGCTTTCTTGGGCCATTTCGGCCGTCTCGGAGGCCATCTCTTGGAGATGTTTTTTGTGCAGCTCAGCGGCCTTCGGATGGCCGGGCCGCTGGGCCGAAGCCCAAAGGGGGAGTTCTTTTTGGAAAATTAGCCCAAATCAAGCCGTTTGGGATCCAGCACGCGAGGTACCCTTGTGATACATCAGCAGGGAGCGGCGGATTTAATGGCCTTCGGCCCATCCCGCCACCGTGCCTGGGTTGTGGGTATGAAGCCCAGTGGATGTTCGTTGGGATCTCGTGGGAGGCCTCTCGGGAGCCTCTTGGAGGCAGCTTGAGGCCTTTGGGGTGCCGTTTCGGGGCCACTTTTGGGCCTCTTGGGGGCCTCTTGGGGGCGAGGCCTCGTGGATGTTCGTCGGGATTTCGTGGGGAGCCTCTTCTCGGGGGACTCTTGGAGGCAGGTGCGACGCAAACAATGTCGACGCGCATGCTTTCAGGCCAGTTAGCAGAGCGGCGTCCCGCGACTCCGACGCTACCTTCCAACGGGGCACTTGCTGCAGTGAAAATATTCATTGTAGGGGCCAGTGTAGAGGGAACTTGGAGGGCTCATTGCAATATCGCTGATGAGTCTTGGGTTTGCACTGGTCCTCTTCCTCCTCCTTCTCCTCCGCCTCCCCCCTCTACCTCCCTCGCCCCTTTCTCCCCCTCCCAGACATGCGATGTTTGATTTTTCAACACATGGCCCCAAGGATTCCCGACTCTTTTCCCGGGGTTGGTGTTTGATCCCAGGTTGTTTGTTTTACGGTCCGGAGGCTTGGCGAAGGCTTCCAGGTGCTGCAGATGGCTAGAAGCCGTTCTGTCGTGATTCTTTCACGACGCTAGCATGCCTGCACTGTTCACTGTTCCCTCTTCCCCGTCCCCCCTCGGCAGCCTTTGTCGTTTGATCTGTCGTCGATGTCTGAGATCAATGAGCAAATTGAAGAGGCCGTCGTGATCTTCAAATTTTTGCCAAATTGTGCTGTGGCTGCGTCACCATAAAGAGGGCAGGACGTGTGCATGGGTCCGCCAAAGAACGGCAACATATACTCTGGACGCAAGAGACTGTGATCGGGATTCCACCCTGATGACGGCAAACCTTCCCATGACATTGAGCATTTCAAGCTGCTTTAGCAGCATCAGAGTTTGAGAGGGGGTGGAGAGCACCTGCGCCGTGTTGCTGCTGCCCCCAGGGATGAAGAGGACGACGCCCCGCTCGTCCTTGCTTCCACTGCGGGGCCGGCGGAATGAGGCGACTCCGATGAAGCATGCGACAATTCTCTTTCTGACGCGCCAGCGAGGGCTCCCTCGGGTGGCCTTGCCCCGCTCGCTACTTTCTGTCGTCCTGCCTAGTGTTGTGTCGGGCCTGTCCCCCTACAGGGGGATTTTCGACGAAAAATAACAAATACCCCCAAAATAACCAGCAAATAACCCCAAAATAGTCCAGGGAATATTTCCCCATATCCTAAGGATTGGGGTTCTTGTTATTACTCTGACGCCTCCCACTCCTCCTCCTCCTCCTTCTTCCTCCCGCTCGCGCCTCCCTCCTCCCAATGATAATCACCAGATAAGACAAGACAAGATAATATACTACAAGATAAGATAAGATAGCACAAGATATGATAAGAAGAGATTTCAAGATAAGATAAGATAAGTTAAGCTCACACTCACACTCTCTCATGATCACAAAACGCTGCCAGGGGCATCATTTGGGAGCCCCAAGGGGGAGCCACCCTGGCTGATCTCACGAGCCCGTTCGCGCCGATTTTGGTGGGACGCCTCAGCTAGAATTGCCGTTTGGCCTCCCCAACATGTAT